GTATTTGCTAAACATACAGACCATCCTAGCAATTGGGCATTAAGAATAGAATTATGTTTGAAATCCGTCATTTATGTTGAGTTTTATGGTGAATGATCACGATAAGATGAAGCTCTAACTTTGATGTGGCATATTTCATGACTGAGGTCTCTTTGAACGTCGAGTGGTAGTGGATATTTCTTTTTTATAATTAGGAGAGGAGGGATTCGAACCTTGCTCTTTAAGCAGGGGGATAATGCATCAACCAATGAACCAAATGCTCGGGTGCACATATTCTAAGTTTTCCATCATGTTCTTCTAGGAGAATAGCAGTCCAATATCTAACACTAGCATCAATCTGGATTATCATGTTTTTGTCAAGCGAAATCTGGAGAAGTGGCAAGTCCTTGGCCTTTTGTCTGACATCTTCAGTTTGCTTTTGGGACCACAGGGGTGGTTGAGGTTTTAGCATTTGTCTGATTGGATAAGTCTATTCTTCCATATTTGGGACAAATTCGTTCATGTAGTTGGTAATTCCAAGGATTTGTGAATTTTTAGTTTTTTGAGTTCTTTGTTAGGGAACTTATCAAGTTCCTGTGCAGCATGTGGTTGAATAATACATTGGCCATCTTTGAGGTTCATGTCTAGAGACTCTTTCTGTAGCACCAATAATCATTTTCTTTTCTGACATGATGCCATACTATTGACCTATCCTGTGAAATCTGGATAATAGTTGTGAGTGGGATTCCATGTCAGGTGAGAATAATAAGACATCATCTATGTAGACAGGGGCATTATCCAAGACTGGTTGGAATATTTTTGTCATTGCCTTTTGAGTGAAAGGGCAGTTTTCAGTTTGAAGGGCATAAACTCCTAATTGCCAGAATCTTGCTTTGAGGTCAAATGTGGAAAGAACTTTGCTTTTGGAAGGTTGGCAAATAGGGTTCCTCCTTTTGGTAGAGGGAATTTATTACCAGCTAAGGAGCGGTTTTAAGGGTTGGTAGTAGATTACCAATCTTAGCTTTCCTTGAACTTGTTCTGGTTGCTTGTTTAGGTAGAATGCTTTACAAGCCCATTGGGACATTGATGTTGTGGACTTCATTAAACCTTGACTTCGGAGTTGTAAACATTCTGCATTTTTGCCATTTTTAAGTGATCGGATTCATACCCGCATGACTTGCTTTTGTCAAGTTTATATTCCTATTCTTCTTGAATGGAAGGAAGATAAAGAATTCTGAGTTTTTCCATACTTGGTGACATTTCTTCTCAAATTCAGAGTGAGTCAGCACATGAGATTTCCTTGATCTTTTGCTGAATTTCCTAAAATGGCTAAGTCATTTGTTGCATAGAGAATAAGTTGGGCAGTAGTTGCCTTGGTTGAAACCAATGTTTGAAGCGTATTCCCTTTGCAAGGAGTTGTAATCCAAAATTTCTGAATGTAATATCAAATCGACAACTAGATCCTTTCGAGGAAGTGAGGATCCTAATACACTCTGTTTGATTAAACATCTTGAGAAAAACTGGATGGTAATTAGAAAAAACAGACTTCCCCACAGTTTATGTCAGCAAGCCCATTAGCTCAAAAAATTACTTTGCAAACTAAACCAAAGCTCACAGTCAGATTTGAGAACAATACCTCAAGGAGTAAGTTGATTGCTTATACCAAGACTAAGATTGTTATGACCACAACTATTCAGACTTGGCCCCTAGGAATGCTCAACCCAGAAGAATTTTTTATACATGTGCTTTTCGCATAGACCTGCTCCCAAATAACCCTTATCCGCGGACTAGATGTCTTGCATACATAATAGACCAAGCCCCATTATCTGAAGAGGACCCACTACAATGGTTAAGGTTAAAGGAAGAAAAATAATTTTTGTATAACTTTATCTACTGTAAAAGTTTGTCTACTTTTGTAGTTTTTCTTTTAAGAAATTTCTACAAAAGTTGTCTCCAATAAGACCAACTTTTGCTTATATGTCTAATAGTAAAATATTTTATCTTCTTGCTAGCAATTCTTATAAAAAGGAGTCTTCCGTTTAGCGAGCCTCTCCCCCGCGGCCCCCCTCTTTTATCAAAGTTCTTCTGTAATATATATTTTTATTATCGCTTTTTTCTTTTCCATAGTTAATCATTTTCTCTAATTATAGCTGCCTTGAATAATTAAGTTGCTACTCAATAGTTAATGACATGTCTCATTATACTCTACAGTTGCCACAATAATAGATCCTTTGCATCAGAACGCACTTTAGCCATTAATTACAGACCAATGCTCTACTTTGGTAGAGTTTTTTGTAGCAGGGTTAGTGTAGTGAAACCACTGTAATAAGGTCCCTATAGCAAAGATACTGTATCCCGTTCACAGAGCTATGAAAGTTAGGCCTTGACTGTTGACTGTCTGACAGGAGGGCTTTGAGGGTGTTTGAATCAGTTAGAATCCGTTGGCTTGTGATTTTGATTATCGTGCCTGCACTGCACCTGTGCTCACAGTGGTCTGGCTTATAGTCGTCCAATCTCCCAGTCACCCTCCTACACCCTTGCTTTTTATGGTGAAGCTTCCAAATTCAAAGTCTTCTAAACAAAACTAAACTCATCGAACTGTATTAAGCTAGATTCGTAAGTGTCTTAATTTTCCGTTGCAAATTCATACACTTTCTCTTGTTTTATAAATCATACCAAATTTGATACTAGAAACTAAAAGCAAGAATTTGAATGGCATTGGAGGATTTAAGAAAAGGTCATTATAACTAAAGATAAGCCGTTGCGTTGTGCATCTTTGATTTTGCTTTCAAGAAGTGCTGTTGATGATTCTCTGTTACAATTTTTTGGTTTGTTTTTGTTCTGTCCTTTCCTATTTGCTATTTTGTTTCTTTGGTTAGGCTAAGAATGGTGAGTGCTGTGTGAAAAGCATCTGTTGTGTTTCTTTTTTTCTTTTTGAAAAACCTCTATTATGTTGCTTTGAAGATATAAACTATAGCCGTTTATATATGTTACGAATTTTGAAATAGAAGCTAGAATGTGTTCCGGTAAGATTGATTTAATGGGCTAATTGTTTGTATATTAGGATCGTTTTCTTAATGGTAACTCGATATCATCTGGTTCACTTGCAGCTTCGTACTTTTAGAGGCCATACAAATGAGAATTGTGGGGTCTCACTGTAAACAGTGAGTATATCGCATGTGGAAGCGAAACAAATGAAGTGCACGTGTACCATAAGGTGAGGAACACTACAACTGGCAATCCTCATGCGTGTTAAGTTTTCTTAGTGAAAAACAAATGAAAAGAGTTGTGGTCAATTTTGCAGGAAATCTCGAAACCTGTAACATGGCATAGATTTGGTTCACAGGACATGGATGATGCCGATGAAGACGCTGGATCGCACTTCATCAGCGCGGTATGCTGGAAGAGTGATAGCCCTACCATGCTAACCGCGAACAGTCAGGGAACAATAAAAGTTCTTGTCCTCGCGGCTTGATAAAAAAAAAAAAAAAAAAAAAGAGGATTTGAAGAGGAGAAAATTAGTGGTGAAATCTGTTGCCCCATTCTTTTTTTGTTTCAGTATCAGTTGACACTTGTAAATATATGTATATAGTGAAAGCTTTAGAGGCCACAGTTCTAAATCTATATGTAGCGAAAGTTTCCGCGTCTGAATCCAATATTCAGGTTTGTGGCTTGCTGTAGATTACCCATCTTAGCTGTATTTAAAAAGACAAAAGGGGAAAAAAAAAAAGGAACATCTAACCATGCCCAAGCAATTTTTAGTCTCATCACATTCACAATTGGTTTCTTCATAATTGAAATTTTAAGTAATTCTTTTTGGGTTAGAGTAAGTAAAACTTTTAATATTAGAACTCTCTTGATGTTTTATTATAGATTTTGTTAATCCAATTTCCTTACATATAAACCTTGTATAGCCTTGGTTCTATATTTTGTAACAAATTTTCGAGATCACTAATCTTTATGTATAGTGAATGTTAGTAGTATAGCACGTTTCATGCTTATGTTTATGATATTGATAACACCAATCATTATGTAATAGAGTGATCAACTTGATTGATATGTCATTTCCAAGCTATATATATATATATATATATATATTATGATTCATAATTTGAGAATATTGATGTTAAGGCAAAATGTTAACGAAATACTAGCAGCAAGTGACAACGATTGCTGCTTACTGATAGCCTATAGATATTCGTTAATTAAACATGGTAAGATAGCAAAAAACTAGCAAGGGAGAGCTAGCTGTTCTCTAATGCCAGGGAAACTTGGACCTGGTATCGTAGGCTTATAGGGCGGACGCCACCAACAGAGTAATGAGTGCATCCTGGAAAGCTGCAAACAAATTAACTACGCCTTGCAAGACATGAAAAGTGGGAACTAGAATTTCTAGTATTTTACTGCATGGCCTTCTCACTACGTACTTTGCAGGTTAATTCATATGCAGAAGAAGAAACAGAAACGTTCTCTTCTTCTCTTCGTGCTTCATGTGATACTCATAG